AAACCCCAAACCCCAAGCCCCAACCTCGAGGTTGGAAGTCCACGATCCGGCCGCCTTGGTCGCCTGCTGCCAGCAGCTCGTGGAGTGCGCTGTGGGCATTCGCCCCGAGGCACCTACAGCTGAGGGTGTAGGGTTTAGGGTTTATGGTGTAGCGTTTAGGGTTTAGGGTTTAGGGTGTAGGGTTTAGGGTTGAGGGGACAAAATTTAGGTTGGGGGGGCCTATAGGGGACTATATAATAAAGTTTGGGGGGGACCTATTAAGGGAAAGGCTACAAAATTAGTCCAGGGCTTATGGGTTCCCCGGAGAGGTTTACATAGGGTTCATGGATTTAGGAGTTAAGGTTTAGGCTTAACATGGCTTCGCATAACACAATTAGATTTAAGATGTGGGGTTCAGGAGTTTCAGGGTTTAGGGTTTCGTGAGTTTAGGGTTTAACGTTCAGGGGTTCATGGCTTTCCAGGAAAGGTTCAAGGTTCATGGGTTTAGCATTCAAGGTTTAGGGGCGCAGGATTTTGGCGCGGGGGCTTGGCTACAAGCATAGCAGGCCCTGATCTGAATTTCACAGGCGCCCATATCTCCCTACAATTCCGATACATTTTTTTGGTACCCATCTACTCCCCAAATAAGCCCCTACATAAAGCTAGTTTTTTACATGAACCCCAAACCAACAACCGCAAACAATGTATCCCTATATAGCTTATATCCGTATCTACTCTCCATATGAGCTGTAGTCTAAACTCCTAGTATCTCCCTTAATAAGCCCGATAATAACCCTTATATAATCCCCTATACAACCCCCATAAAGGAGTGTAGACCCTAAACCCAAAACCAAAAACATTCGTGGCGCCTACGCGCCAATTTTCCTTGTTCCCGCTTTTCAGTCGAAGCTTCGGGAGCGCATGGCAACCGTAAAAACCCCATATCATACAATCCCCTATGTAGCCCCCTTGAAGGAGTTTAGACCCTAAACCCTAAACCCAAGAAGCCTATATAATCCCTAAACCCTATAACCCTATATAGCCCCTTAACGTTGTAACCCTATATAGTCCCTAAACCCTATAACCCCATATAATCCCTACACCCTATAACCCTATATAATCCCCTTAAAGGAGTTTAGCTCATATGGTAGTTTCCCAAAATAGGGGAACCCAATATAGACCCCAAAATACTATAGTCCTTTTTATGGGGAGCCCCAAAA